AGCTGCTTAGGAAACAACCTTCCCTGTTCTGGGAAACAAAACCCTCCCTGTGTGGTCATGATAGGAAGGTATACGGCACGGGTATATAAATCACAAAACTGACTACATTTTGGTAGGAAATTGTTTAGCACGCTGATAACGAACCCCATGTTCCACTGCACGCAAGCGCGATTTTCTGATGTTTAAGTGGGTACAAGGTAATGGATCAAAACTCACTGATTCAAAAGATAGCGAGGGAGCGATCATTCCGGAAAGCTTGTGAGTAGTTTTATCTCGTTGGTGGAGGCGATATTCCGTAATAATGGGCACTGATAACATCGTTTCACAAATACCACGCAGAATCAAACAAAAACCTAATTTTGTAAGCGTTTAGAGGGAAATATCACTCATACTTATGGAAGTCAAAGCGAATTACCACTCGAGTAAGGTTAGGATAAAGCATTTCTGTCAATTCGAAGGTTCGTTATCATAGATACATTCTGGATCAGAGACTCGACGCGCAGACGGTCTGACACGAACTTGAAAGCAGTGTCCGGACAGATTTGGAAGCACCTCAACCTTGATCGAAATCCCCATGCAGACCACAGCCCGGCTGCAACTGCAAAATATTGCTTGTGAAGAGAGTAAATAGATTCGGAAGTCTAAACAGACCGCCTCCCAATTCAGCCTCGTTCTTACCGAAACAGGAAATCGTGGCGGAACACCTCGCTGCAGCGACAGCCTCGCGACTGTCGTGTGCCAACACGATTATCTTCGTAAGGACGAGACTGACTCGAGGGGCGTCTTTGTTCAGACTTCTGAAGTTGTTTAGTCGCCTCAGAAGCAATGTCACGACCGGGCTGTGGTCTGCTAGGGACCGCTTCAGCAGTGGCGTACCCAGGATTCCGGCTCGGGGGGGGGGGGGCGCGGCAAAAAATTTTTTTAGATGAAGGTGCGTGGCGTCAGCCACGCACTCCGAAAAAATTTTAGGGGGGTTTTCAAAATTTTTGCGGGCCCCCAACCCCTAAAATCTGGAAAAAGGGGGCGTGGCTTCAGCCACGCCCCCGAAAAAATTTTTTTGTAAGGCTAATTTGAATTTTTAAAAAATTTAAAAAATTATTTTAATTGTTTACAAAAATAAACAAGTCACTTGCACATTTTTATAACCCATGTGAGTATCTTTCGAAAATTTCGCGACCCGTTCTCGGGGGGGGGCCCCCGCCCCCCCCCCTCGGTACGCCACTGCGCTTCAGTGATAAAGTTTGTCCCCTAGAAATGTTCCCAAAGGTATCGTTGACCATTTATTCGTTAACCGCACGGACTGGACATTACTGCGGAGCACGCGCCGCGATGTAAAACGCTTGCCCCAGTACGAATTCACGGGTGGTGGTTAAGAATAACGACAAGTCTGCCAGCCGATAGTTACCGGCTGCTCGCGCGCACAGAACAGCCCGCACTCCCTCGTTCATGAGAGAAAAATGATCGTGCTTTAGTGCTATTGAAGTTCGTTTCCTACTTCGATCATAGAAGCTTATCAGCCCTTCCACAGTTGCTGCTACCCTTGGTCTGCGTCTCTGGGGCGGTACCACGTCTAACATGTTGGCAACGTGCAACAACATGTCGGCAGAAGATTTTCGCCATTAGCCTCAGCGCCAACATGTTGCTGCATGTTGCCAACATAATGGCCACGCATGCCGCAGGTCTGGCACCCCGACCAAGGATAGCAGCAACTGTGGAAGGTACGATACATTCGCATTCTGAATTGAGAATCATAGGAGCTTACATTCACGTGCTAAACTGAGCTCAAAACATTTTTATCGCATGTTAGCGATATGATTACTAATTATTTCCATCTTCAGAAAATAGCGGAAGCCTCAATCAAGCATAAATGAGAACAACGCTTCGGGCATTTACCGCTACAAAATGCAGTGCTTGCGTGATCGTACGCTGCTAGGACGGTGCTATCAGTATACCGTTAATTGACACCCAGGCGGGTGCCACTATTGCTATAGGAGGGGTAGAGGAACGAACGCCTCAATTAGGCACCGCCTCCACGGGCTGCTGGTCCCTTTCGTCCTACTGTTGTGCATCGTGTTAGGACCGGTAGTCCGCAGAGGCGGTGACAAATTGAGGTGTTCGTTCCTCCACCCCTATAGGAGCCTGCAGGATCGCGAGAGTCGGACGTGCGTACGGCTATTGTGCCGCGCACGTCAGATGTGCGTCCGACGACTCAGGTAGGTGCCAAACTTATCCTGTTGAACAGATTCATTCGGTTTACCACCTTTGCTGTTGGGCAGTGTAGTGATTTGACCTAACCGAAGCCGAAGCGGATAAATCTGGCACCTGCTCTAGTGACATCGGACGTGCGCGGCGCAATGGCCGTACGCACGTCCGACTCTCGCGATCCTGCAGGCACCTATAGCTACCGTTACTCTTGACATATACCCCGAATTCACCATCGTACAAGTCGTGCTCTTGCATTTCACTTGCGCCGCGCGCGTTCCGCAGCGTTTCAGCAGTCCATGCGGTCAACGAATCACCGGTACCATCAATGTGGCTGCCTTTTGATCGTTTCACGTTAACTCCAGCAAAGCTCTTACTCGCAGCTGACGTGTTAAAATGATCGAAAGGCAGCCACGATGATGGTACCTATGGGAGCGTCTCGGGAGTGGGGGTAGGGGAACGAAGGAGGACGTGCGTTGTACTACAAAGACCTCGCCGCCAAAGTTCGCCGCCATAGTCGGCACGCGCGCCGAGCTGGCTTTCTGTATCCCGCACCCACTTTGCACCGGTGAGCCTGAGCCATGAGGCAATCGCGCGGACGCAACCTCGTTAGCTTTGTCGCGTTGCGACGTCGCGCCGCGATGTCGCAATTTTACAAAAAGTGACATAAAAATACTCAAAAAATTCTTCTTTCAGATTTTAACGTGCGATATCGTCCGTCGCACAGCATAAGGTGAAAATCTCGGAAAAAAAACGTTAATTTCCTGTTTTTTACTTGATTCAGGTTCATTTTCAAGTAAAATTAAGGAAAGAAAATCTGGCATCAGCTACCTACTTTTGTCCTAATAAGTTAAGTCCGCAGGTCATCATCGCTGTGTTACTAATCTCAACTTGCAATCTAGGCCACAGGTCACACCTTGCAGTGACAATTAGAAATCTATACCGTGGCAAAAACAAACATGAAACAAAAAAGAAAATTGAAGAACGCTGGGGAGTTTCCAAACGAATCTTTTGTTTTTATCTGGAAATATAAACGAACATGAATCAAATATAAAACAGGAAATTAACAAGTTTTTCTGAAATTTTCACCTTATGCGGTGCGATGAACGATATCGCACGTTAAAATCTGAAAGAGGAATTTTTTCTGATATTTTCATGTAACTTTTCGTAAAATTCGCGACATCGCGCGCGAAGTCGCATGGCCGACAAAACTAACGAGGCTGCACTCGCGCAATTGCCTCATGGCTCAGGCGCACCGGTGCAAAATGGGTGCGGGATACAGTAAGCCAGCTCGGCGCGCGTGCCAACTATGGCGGCGAGCTTTGGCGGCGAGGTCTTTGTAGTATAACGCCACGCCGCCGGAACGAACGCCCCCAGTTTAAGCCGCTTTTCGCGGCCAACTGGTCCTTTGTTATTGCACGTCGTTCCAAGACCAGTAATCCGCGGAGACGGCCCAAACTAACGGCCTTCGTTCCCCTACCCTTTCTGGGGAATGGAAAATATGTTGAAAGAGGTGCTCCCAAATCTGCCCGGATACTGCCTTCAACCTTTTGGGGACCGGCCATACCATTCCAGGAGGTAATTCCTGCGATTCCTGTAATTCCTGCAATTTCTGTGATTCCTCGAATTCCGATGTGCCCTACTACGGAGCGCTTTGCAAATTCCGTATACATTGTTTTTTCGCAATATAAATTGTTGCGGGACCCGCAGGAATCACAGGAATAGTATGGCCGGTGTCCCTTACAGCCTGAGCTCTGCTGACGCTGCACGCAGCATGTGTTTAAAGGGCAAGGGAGAGAGAGAGAGTGAGAGAGAGAGAGAGAGAGAGAGAGAGAGAGAGAGAGAGAGAGAGAGAGAGAACTATATGTCACCGAGAGGGGGTGGTCCCACATGGACACCTGAGACTACGAAGCCATACATATTACAGTCCGTGCCAACCTCGTGCTCCCTTTTCTACCAGCCAGATCGCAAAACCGGTGCCTTGCCTGCGTTCGCGTCACCGATCGGCCGCCGCGCTAGAGTCCTGCGGAGCGGACGCGTGACTGCTACGGTAGAGGGAGCATCTTTTTGACATCAACTGTACGCAATTCTGCTAATTTGTTCATTTCATCTCTATGGTATGGTAGTATATCACGTCAAGACGTACCATTCGATCTGTTCCCATAAACACGCAGTCTAGAATGCTTTGCCTTTAGTTATCATAGTTGAAATGATCACCAAACCTCCGCATTTCTTGCAGATGCCAAGTAAACATTCCTTACCTTCTGTCGCTAATCATCGAAACTTAACCTATGGAAATCATTGAAGGCGGATATCAGGCACAGTTAGCAGTCTGTCACTACCAGTTTACCCTCGCTTGTTACCAGCCGAGAAAAAACCAGATATTCACCATGGATGACCCATCGTCGATTCGTTGACCGCACGGACTGCTCAAACGCTGCGGCCGCGAGGCGCGGCTGAATTGTCGCGAGAGCACGACCTGTGCAATGGCGAATTTGTACTGGGGCAAGCGTTTCACCTCGCGGCGCGTGCTCCGCAGTGATGTCCTGCCCGTGCTCAACGAATCTACTATAGGTACGACAGCACAGATGCTTGTATGTTTACGTTTCCAAACATAGGACAGCAGCGTGGAGATACCGAATGCGCTCCAGTGAACGATAGTTTAGCGACGGCCATCGTTTTCGTAGCTACGAACGGTGTATCACAAGTATCACAACTTTAGTGAAAGTACTTATCCATGTAATATAATCAAACTAAAATAGGCGTAGGAAATGGCTGCCTAGCTATGAGAAACCCACGTCTTTTCCGAAGGATTCTGTTGTCGAAGCCGATGTGCTCGTATTCTCTTTTACAAAGGGGACATCCATGACTACGGATCTGCATCCAAAGTGCTCCTATGAGATAAGATATAAATGATAAGAGCTCTATTATTTGCATATACAGAGGAAAATCCTCACGACTATTTTTCTAATGTCAATTCCTCTCTCACGAAGTCTCTTGACGTTTGTGTCGTAGATGTTTATCTGAACGTACGATGAACACGGCGGAAAAGTAGCATCCACCGCTAGCGTTCCTCCTTGCATGTTCTAAAAGCCGACAACTGAAGTATAGTTGATTCGTTGACCGCACGGACTGGACATCACTGCAGAACACGCGCCGTGAGGTAAAACGCTTGCCACAGCACAAATCCGCCATTGCACAGAAAATTTCAACCCAGTTTAGGGAACGGCCATAGGTTGTCGATGTTGTCGGTGTTGTCGGTGTTGTCGATGTTGTCGGTGTTGTCGGTGTTGTCGGTGTTGTCGGTGTTGTCGGAGTTGTCGGGGTCAGAGACAGTTTAGAGAGCGCGCGAAACGTGGTGGCTATCATGAGGTCCTACAACGACCGGCAACCTCGGCAAACCCGACAACACCGACAACATCGACAACACCGACAACCTATGGCCGTTCCCTTAGGCGAAAATTGGAATGGCGGAAGTCCGCTTCGCAACTGTTTGCGCTGGCTACCGTATACATGTCGTGCTGAGAACCCATGTCTGCGTCTCTTCTCTCCTCAGTCTTTGCTTGGCAAAATTCCAGGGCTGTGCGCTTGCAAAGCCTCCAGCGATGTGGACGCGCTCTTTCACTCCAAATGCTTCGCCTACTCCGGGTTGAAACATACTGTACAAGTCGTGCTCTCGCGACAAGTCAGCCGCGCCGCGCGTGGTCCGCAGCGTTTAAGCAGTCCTTGCGGTTAACGGATCGACGTACCTACAATGGAGAGCTCACAATGCGCTTGGTGGCGCTAAGGCACACGCCATACTTGAAGGCGGTGTCCGGGCACTCGCAATTGCGTTTTTGCCTGGAAACCGATGAGGGGGTCTTAACTAAGACACTGCCCAAACGGCAGCGCAAATGACCCCTTACGGCTGAGAAACCCATCCCCAAACACTCCGCATGCGCCGTAACCGGGGTCGGGGAACGAGCTTTGCCATTTTGAAGCGCTTCCGCTACTGGGCAACAACATGCAACAACATTGCAAAAGGACCAGTTGCCGGCGGAGGCGGTTCAGGGATCGTTCAGACCGCGCCGGAACCCGCCCAAACTCGCCCGAATACGTCCGAATCCGCCCGAATATTTCCAAACGCCCAAACACGCCCAAATACGTCCGAACCCGCCTGAACTGCCAAAGCGCAGCAGGTTGCATGCAAATTGGCATATTGGAGCACGCGTGCGATTGATCCTTCTAATATCGGAGTAGTTGCAAAAGAAGATCGGTATGTAACGTCGAGCTACGTGTGACTGAGATAATGCACTACGCGAGCATTATTCCACGCCTGCTCCAATATGCCAATTTGCCGCATATCCGCTGCGCTTTGGCAGTTCCAGCGTTCAGGCGGGTTCGGACGGATTCGGACGTATTTGGGCGGGTTTGGGCGGATTTGGACGTATTCGGGCGGGTTTGGACGGATTCTGGCGCGGTCTGAACGATCCCTCAGGACCGGCGGAATTCGCTCCCTACTCTCGTGACCGTCTCGCGAGTGACTTAGGACAGGTCCTAGCGCGAACGCCGTATGAATGGGAGCGGAGTCAATTTCGGTCACGGCGCAGACGCGAAAGGTTTGGGGACGGTTTTCTCCGCTTTGAATGAATAATTTGCGCTGACACTCGGGCAGTGCCTAAGTTAGGACCCCCTCATTGGTTTCCAGGCGAAAAACCCATGCGCTAATGCCTATTCCGCTTTGCTATTCGTCAGTTCATCTGACCAGCAAAGTATGAAGTGGACCAACCGATCAATTGGTCAAGTATGACGTGCCTAAGGAAACGCACAGCTGCGCACCTTGTCGGCAGTGCCGCCGCCTCGAGCGACTCGAATCTCCGCGCGACCGCCTCGAGGTTCTGCACCGCGTTCACCTGAGTGTAAAAAAATAATCAGAGACGAGCTAACGCCATCCACGTGTAGAAAATTGATCACAGTACATGTTCGCATGCGGTATAGACCTCAAGCGAGCGGTCGCGCAAGACGCTGGAGACGGAGATACTGCCTATGAGACACATGAGAGCTGTTGATGTCGTGGACGAAAAATCGCTTCTCCCTTACAATAAAGGCCGCCAACACAAACACACGGTTCATGACACGCAGAGACTGGGCGCCGTTGCGTACGGTCATGGTAGTTTGTGCATGGGACAGACAGCAGATAGTAAGAGAAACGAAAGAGCGCTAGATCAGAGAGACGCCGATATGTCCGCGTCTTTCTGATCTAGCGATAGGCGATTCATATTACGCAGTCTTTGCGTAATATGAATCGCCTGTACTGACTTATTCGCTTATATCGATACCTAACATTACTAGACCCTCCAGACATTGACGGATGCGAAACCAACTTCAAGCGGTATGAAACGACCGGAACGTGCTTTGGAGGCAGCGTCCGCAGATCCGCACACATTAGTATTGCATTGCATATAGAAACTACGCTTGGCAGCTTAAAGGCAGTGCCCAGGCAAATCTGGACCTACGGGGATTTTACGTGGAAAGTAAACTTGGGGCCCTAATTGAGGCAGCGCAAATGACTCACTAACGGCTAAGATACGCCTTTAAACTGGACTTCAGGAACGTACTTCGCATGGATTCATGGCACGACGCGAGAGGACACACGCAAAACTGATGTGTCGCGCCATGAATCCATGCGAAATACGATCCTGGAATTTAGTTTGGTGGCGAATCTCAGCCGCTAGAAGACTATCTGACTGCCGGTTGGGCAGTGTCTTAGTTAGGGCCCCAAGTTTACTTTCTACGTAAAATTCTCATGGGTCCAGATTCGCCTGGACACTACCTTCAACATAGACATAGCCCAAGCAGCAGCGCTGATGGTGCATATGCTGAGATGTTTGCCTTAAAAACAAGCCTCGCTACCGTATTTCGCGCGAGATTTGCGTCGGATTGCACGAAATCGATGCTAGTGTCAGGCACCAGGACACTGCCTTTGAGACCGTATAAGAGATATCCGTCGACAACCGCCCCGCTTCGTGCATCAACACCACCGCAAGCGTGGCTTTTGGAGCCTTTCCAACTTGACAGTACGCTGCAGCGCGCGGGGACTTGGTAGCTCGCAGCATTCTTGTCCTTTAACCTTCTTCTGCTGATTTAAGCATTTCAATCATTTTTTTTCTTATTTTACATTTCAGGCAATCAGCCATTCTAATGTCTATGTGAGAACATCGCCGCGAGCAAAGTAGAGAAAAGAATGACCTTCTTCGTAGATGCAGTGATGGAATCATCGCTATGATTGGAATTGCATATTTTCTTCAATGTTTTGTAATGGTGTGACATGTTCCTAGGATAGACCACTGAACTGATTGCTTCAGCACTCCTACATCAGGGACACCATATAGGAGTGTCACCTAAGAAAAATCGGCGCTATTCTGCTACACGGGCCCCAAAATTTTATCGGCCCAGGGGGGCTACCTGACAGGCTGATCACGAATATCACATTTTCTCCACAGGAAAACGCCTCCCTGCAGGGTTACGATAGGTATACGGTAGGGGGTCAAAATCGTGGATTTCGCTCAAAATCGGTGTAGGAGGTTATTCGGCCCGCTGATGCTGCACATTGGTTTTGTAGCGTAGCGTCATTTTCTCGGGTTACGGTGGGTATACGGTAGGAGGTCAAAATCTCAAAACCCGCTGTAACTTCGCACAGAGGGGTTATTGGACATGCTGATTAGAAATGTTACACTTTCTCCGCATGAAAACGTCCCCCTGCATGGTTACGATAGGTTTACGGTAGGGATCAAAATCACAAATCGGCAAATGTATCCTTCCCTGTGTTTTGCTTAGGCAAAAGCCGCAGCAGGGTGTGCAGCGCACGGCGGTGGTCGTGTGTGCAAAGCTTCGCGATTGTCCGAATCGCCGTACACCCGTTTCAGGCAAAATATTTCTTCCACCCGTTACCGTTTAGTTACCGCAACTCGAGAAAATGGCGCTACGGTTCAAAACAAATGTGATATTTGGCATCAGCAGGCCGAATAACCCGGAGGGCAGCCAACATGGATGATAGCTTATGACAGCCATATGCGTTGCATAGGTCAAATATTTTTCAGATTCTATATTTACGCTAGAACGACATTTAAATATTTGAGAAAAAAACGCGTTTAATGGGCCCTGATCTTTACTTTTCGACACCCTTTCCAATCCAGCAAAGAGCATATCGCTTTATCAAATAAGACTTCATGCTCGGTATATTGACAGCCGCAGAAGTACAGTATGCTTAATTCAAGCTAGTTCATCTTGGCACACACACGAATAATCCCCCTAGGCCAAGTTTCAGCGAAATCCGTGATTTTGGCCCCCTACCATATACTCACCGTAACCGCACAGGAAGGCGTTTTCACGCGAAAAAAAACGTGATATTTGTGATCAGCATGCCAGATAACCCCCCTGAGCCAGCCGAAATCTACGATTTTGACTCCGTATCCCTACCTTAACCCCACAGGGAGGCGATTTTCTGCGGAAAAAATGTGATACCGCGATCACATCACACCCCCCTGTACCAAGTTTGAGCGAAATCCATGAGAAAAAAATTCTGGGGCCCGGATAGCGGGATAGCGTGGAAAAATCCATGATAGCCACCACTGCTTACGATCAAAGCACACTCTTTCACCTAATTTTGCCCAAGGCGATGGTTCACAATTTTGAAAAAGAATGCTTGGTGGGTCAAAAGGGAGAGAAATCCAAGAAATGTGCCTGAACGAATTTCTTCCTTACCTTTCACTAGGTCATCAAAGCGTAGGATATTTGAACATCGAGAGAACCTACGAGAAAGGGAAAACGAATGATTGACTGAAAACGACTAACAAGGGAAGTGTCAGAACTCGCAGTGGCCTTTTGACATGAAATAAGTATCAGAAGCAGCTTGAAATGCTGATTCCAAAACAGCCTTTCTTAGCTGCAGAACTAATCTAGGATGACAGTTATTGAATTTAATTTGCGGGAAATTTACAACGCTGAGATTAGCCAAAAATTAAAGCGAACATTTTTTGGGCTCAAACATAGGTGAAACAGTGCATCAATGTTTAAAGTAATCCTACGCCTTCATCAAAGTCATGCTGTGGTGCTTAAACAAGCATTTGAAAGGTTTTCATGATCACAGAGTACTTCACACAATGTAAAATTTGATGTTTGAAATGCCCATAACTCGCGACCCAGATCAGTTCTGCAGCTAAAGAAGTTTGTTTTGGAATCAGCATTTCAAGCTGCTTAAGATGGTACCCATCCCATGTCAAAAGGCCACTGCGACTTCTGACACTTCCCTTGTAAGAAGGAAAAAAACGGTGTGAAATACGTAAATCGACAAGAGGCTAAAGGACAGTGTTGCTGCGAGCTACGAAGCCCCAGCACGCTGCAGCGTACTGTAACGCTGGAAAGGCTCCAAAAAGGCACGCCCACGATGGTATAGGCTGCTGCATGACGAAGGCGGGGTAGAGGACTATATGTCGCCGAAAAAGGGCGGTTCCCGCGGTCATTTGCGACAAATACGCATCCTTGTACACGCACGGACATGCGTTCCTGCAGGGAATCCGCACGGGACTCTTCCAAATTCGGCGACATATAGTCCCCCACCCACGAAGGCGCAATATCGTCGGGCGCGAACTTTAGCCACAGAGCGCATGAGGCACAGGATTTACCATGGTGAGGATACGCGCGCGTCAGGTTCGCGCCCGCTCAAATGATAATGCTTCTGCGCCTTCATCATGCAGTAGCCTTTACAAATGCACAATTAAAGGAACCTTCTTCTCAAATATTGTAGAGGGCACCTTCTTCTCAAACATATTAAACCTCTTTTTGCAGCTCAAACATAAACTATACTCCGTCACTGGCCATAAAAAGCGAATACTTGTCGAAGCTAACTAGTTCTCACCATCAGGAAGTGCAGATCGCCGCGGAGTTGCTTTTGTAAACTACAGTAAATGGTCCACTAGTAAGGTTAGAGTTGCACAGAAATAATGAATGCCATGCCAGGTTAAACACCACCTATTGGAAAAGCTTGCACGATGTTACCATTCTTGGAATTATCCACAAACGCAGCAGATAGGGCAGAATTTTGTGTTTCCCCTATCGTTGTGATGAGACAAATGGTAACACCCATCAAACAGCCATTTACGTTTGGCTAAGGAAACCCCAAACCCAAATCGATCCTCCTACGTAAATCCATGCGGTTCTGAGTTCCAGCGAAGTATAGGCGAGCACCCACTGACGAAAACCCCTGCCGAATGTCTCTGACCAGCGAAATTTTGAGCATCATCACTCTACACAAGTAAATATGAAGCCAAATTCAAAAATGAAAACATTGGAAGAAGCCAAACAGGAAGCGACGCCCACGTTTCGGCATGACGCCAGCACTACGATCCGCATGCGCTCTGCAGGAATTCTTTCCAAGACCAGCTATCTACCGACGCCGTTCCAATTCAAACTACTCCATTGGTAAGAACGCTTTCTTCTGGAATACTTTTGTCTGATATTCTTTGCAAATATGCACTCGTTTCAGTTGTAGCGCAGCAGAGAAGATTCGAATCTTCTCTGCTCCGCATCTTGTTGTATCGGACACAAGTTTGCGCTGATTTGGAGAGTGCTTGTGATGCTAGTACGGGTAGTCACTGTGAAGCCTCTCTTCTTTTCAGGAAAGCCACTACAAGTGGTCAGCAATAAAGCTGTCACGAAGGATTGTGCCAAACATGTGGTGAGTCATTAGTCATAGGGTAATAGTCTGTTTCCTTCGACAGCGGAGAAAATGAAAAGTTCCAAAAAGGTACTGATTTTGCAGTTCGATTAGTTAGTAGATAGATAGAGAGCAGATGCGACGTACACCTTGATGTCACCTATTAGGAAGGGTGCTTAGCTAAGAAAGTAGTTTCGCACATTTTTGCTTCATACAGCTCCTTCTTGAGCAAGGACGAGGGAAAGGGTTTATTGCACAGGCTTGCTAGGATTATTAATCGTCCGGTTCATAATAGAATCGTTGAAGGCAGCGTCCGGGCAAGATTTTGAATGGAATTTTTTTTTGCTGGGCTCCTCCCGCTGATTCTGAAAATGCAGCTTGGAGGACACCAAAACGCCGAAAACGGGCTTTTCCAGAAGCTGTAGATTTGAATTTTGTCGCCTGCGCCAAGGTTAAGATGCAGAGTCTTTATGGGACCCTACGTCTTGACTGTGTGCGGTGTGCGCACTCTGGCTTATCGAACTAACTCGTCCCGGTCGCCGGGGCGTTCCGGTCGCCACTTCTGAAGCGGATTTCTCGCTTCAGAAGCAAATTGGTGCATTGCCATGTGGGCAAGGGCCTTACCAGGACGGGCGCCCCTCTACTCTACATTTTCGTATGTGCCCAAACGCTGCCTTTAAGAACGTGGCGGACAAAGAAGCAGGATGGAAGCATAGAAAAAAAAATAATCCCATACATTGACAAATGAAAAAAAGTCTCTTGTACTTTTACCCTATTTTCAGTTGTATAAGCCGCACCCTTTTTGCTCTAAAGGCGAACACGCCAAAAGACTGACTGTCATCATGGAGCGCGTTAAGTGAGAGCAGCATGCGATAAGGCGACCGCTTCGCGAGACATATGCGCGGCGGCACGCCTGGGTCTGCTTGCGTTTAGAGCAAAAAGGGTGCGGCTTATACACCTGAAAATAGGGTACTTCCCAAGCCAATTTCAACAGAGGCATGCTCAAGGACCATGCTTTTTGGTGTGTAGACGTGATTGAAGCTACAATAGTTTGATAGCTACAATTTTCGTGGGATCGACTTGATGAACAAGCCTTATAGGTAGCGTCCGGGCAAAATCTCAACAAAATTTTTTTTGCTTAACTGGGCTTATCCTTCCCGCTGGTATCAAAATTGCAGCTTGCAGAGTACAAAAATACACAACAGGCTACCGCTAAAGCCTCTGATTTTGAATTTTAAGCCTGCCGCTGAGGTTAAGATGCAGAATGTAGGGGAACCCTACGTCTTGGCTCTGCGCGATATGGTCCCATCCAGGGTCAAGCTTGTGATGCGATTGTCGCAACGGGGGGTCGTAAAGAGGGTACCTAAGGTGTGAGGGGGGGGGGTCGTAAGAGGAGGTAGATAGGCTAAAATACCCTAAGCTTAAAAGAGAACAAAAAGCAGGTAATTGGTTATGTTCTTTACGAAAAATCTATGAAAAAGTTGAAATCAGGATAAAAAAGATAAAAAATTTGTAGAAATTCCAAAAAAAGCATTTACAAGAGTTCAAAACACTTTTGAAGGATGTATGATTTGATAAAAATGCTGAATGTACCGATTGCCCTAAAAATCTTGCTTCTGAAACCTTCCTGAAGTCTCGCACACTCGACAAAAGCGAATATCTTTCTCAGCTGTGACCATCATGAGTTTCTAAATCTTTTTGTAATGTTTTTCACGGGCCCATATGATTTATCTGTACTTTAGAGATGCTCTGCTATATCAATGCAAAATTTGGTGTTATTTTATCAACTGTGGATTTTCTTATGATTTTATGTATGGTAGCAAAAAATGAGAAAGGGGGGGGGGTCGTGGCGCCTCATCTAAATTTCTCCGGAGCTATTGAAGCTTGTTAGCTGCAATTGCTGTAATACGAAGCCATCCCTCCACTTTTTATCATAAGAATTTCAGGGTGTTTTATAACTTCTCCGGTGAGATACAAAATTTCAAGCTCAAAAATCCCACTTTTTGCTTATTAGGATCGCAAAATTTGCGAGAGTCGCATCTAGATTTTTTCGAGCTTACTGCTCCTCAATGGTTAAAACTTTTTCCATGGATAGTATGGGCACTATACTACAAAGCCTGTTCATTGCAGTCTCTCAGTCTTTCCTTGCCTTTAGTTACGAATTTTCAAAATACCGTGCTCATGCACGTTTTTGACATCGCTCTGGATGGCGTTAAAACAGTTTTTTTCGCACGAAAATTTGTACAAAAGGTAGGAAGTAAGCCTTTTAGTCGGAAACATGTTTTATGCTTCAAACATATCGTTTTTTCTCCCTTCAAAAAATGGTGCCGCGTACGGGGACCGAATTTGCTGGCCAGAAGTATGCTTGAAAATTCAAAAAAAAACTTGCAGAAATTCCATTATTGGAGGTGTGTATGCGTGCCAGAGATGTTGCACAGACCCCTTGGCTCAGAAAGTCTGCTTCCGAAGCCCCATGAAGTCTCGCACACTCGACAAATCTCATGTCTTTATCAACGGTGACCGTCAATAATTTGTAAATCTTAAAGCAAGCTTAATTATCATTCAGATTGGAATCGATGTTCTGCTTTGTCAGATAATGTCCTTTCCATTCATATTTTCTCAAACACAATAAACATAGCCAAATCTTCTGGAATTTTACTACTTACCCAATCTGCGCTGAATTATTTGTGAGTTTTTTGAATGGCGAAGCATACTCGCATTATTTTCCAATTTGTAAGTAGTTATCTATTTCTGATATCTAAGTTTGATTGAGGTCTTTTGGAAATTTTTAGCAATTATTTTCATTATTTACAAGTATACACAACCTCTTGTCACGTCACTAAGTCACATATTTTGTGATTCATGTTCATGATAATCGCTGAATATTGATCATTGACCCCGCTTCCCAAAACTCACCTTAGACTTCCGAAAATTTGGTAGAATTCGATATCCGTGTGCCCTCCACAACTCATTCTCGACTGCTCGATTATCTCGCTAGATAATGAGTTACGTTTGCTTTCAAGTCAGACGTGACATAGTGTAGCTCTACCATCTCATCCACCTTGTAAAATTTAGTTAAGTTTTTTCTTAAGCAGAAAAGTACGAAATAAGAAAAGAAAATCATTTGGAATTTTCAGTATCAAATAGACACTCGCAATTATTTTTTTATGGAGTACGCAAAGTGCATTCCAGGCTTATCATTTTATTGGATTTGCAAAAGAGCAAAACTCTACAAGAATGAATACCGTAATAACTCTAAAACTTTTTACCTTCCCCTTGGCCATTCCCTCTGTACTCTCACGTAGATATTCTTCACCGCTTGTCCCGTAAGAAGAAAAGCGAAAGTACGAGCCAGTTGCGGTAACAAACGATATTGCTGTATCTGACAATCCGAAATTTTCACTTCTCCAGCGCTAAAACTTCGAGCTTTCAGGTTTCAAAAAATAAATTCAGATTGACCCACCCTGGAGTGATCTCTCCTTGAAGTCGTATAGCCAAATAACGAATTGCAGTTTTCATCGCATAAGCAGCGAACATTGCCTGATGTCGGACCATGTGCGCTCTAACATGAACCATGATCGAGTTGCTTATTTTGGCATGCTTGGACGGGTACCGTCTGGGGCTACCTGAATAGAATTAGCTGAGAGCATTTTCAAAGCGAAAACATATGCTTACCCTGCTTCATGAGCATATTTAGGCGAGGTATACGGTAATGGTCAAGACGCAGAAATCCGTTTTCGGAGCTGTCACATACCTTGGTCCAATATCGCCAACTGTCACTATCGATATCGATTTTATCGATTTTTTGCAAAATTTGAGCTACGGGGCTGGGAGTTGGCACAGGGGGGTAATCAAGCATGCTGATTACAAATATATTATTGACAGGGCCGGGCGGAACCGGGTTTGCCAGCTAGTTATACATAAAAGTCATTGGTGTATAACTCACCAGTCATTCTGTAGAGGTAGAACCAGGCTTCAATCGCTTCTGGTGGCAAAAGTGAATGTGCATCCAGAGGCTAAAGCACGATGTTGAAAAGCGTATGTGCTTGAAAAACAGCAAAAAACTTTGATAGAGAGATCTTCTTTTTGACCAGGTAACATGTTGAAATACGCTATCTCAAGTCCCAAACCCGTAGGATTTGTGTACATCGCCTGACAACCTCTCCCAAGACTCTGCAATAGAAATCAATATCTGAAGTCGATAACGCTCATACTAGCGGCTCTCTAACGGAAGTATCGAAAGCATACCTCTGCCAATTGCAGTCATTCGTGCGACCAAGCAAGGGGAGACAGCGACTGGAAATAGGAATAGCTATATCACAATCGGATTTTTATCGAACTGTTTGTTGGAGTAGATGCGCAAAAGAAAAATAGGATGAAAAACACTCTTTCAGCCATCGTTCGGCATGATGCGCTAATTGGAAAAATAGGCGATAGGAAATAAGTAACAATCATTCTGCACTTACACCGTATACAATATATTTCACGCCAAAAATACTGTAAGACAGTCGAACGATGGCTGAAGAAGTAATATTGTTAACATAGATAATGAGAATAAAGCTCTATAGATAGTTCTTTCCAAGGCAGCAACCTGCAGTGATACGTGATAAACTATAGATTGGATCACTGCCAAAATTTCGCCATACCTGTTCGTATTCGTCTAAAAAGTGAAAGTATTGATTTCAGTCTCGGTTTGATCCGTTGTGCAGATTTGTATATTCCTCACCTTCTCTTCATCTTTCATCATTTTTCTCTGTCTCTCACGTTGGATGACACATGAAGAACTGCCACCAAGTTTTCTCTTGGCACTGTACGGTCTTCCATGGGGCTACGGTAGTGGTACGGTATGACATCAGGGTCACACCCACGTATAACGGAGAAGGTTGTACAACATGCTGAACACCTCCACAATATTAAATGGATAAGTAGTAATGCACGATTTTAAAAACTAATATTGTATTCGTAATCAGCATGCTCGATTACCCCCCTGTGCCAAATCCCAGCCCCGTAGGTGAACTCTGCAAAAAAATTGATAAAAATCGATATCGATCGATGAAGAAAAGTGGCCTATGACACCCGCCCGGCCCCGAAGTGTTTGTGTGCAAAGTTTGGTCCGGATCGGTTCAGAAATGGAATTTTCTATTAGGAACATACGTAACAGACAAACAGACAAACAGACATCCAGCTTAATATATTAGGTTGTCCCGAAAGTTTTGTCCGTTTTTTTCATCGCTCACTAAAACTTGCTGAACACCAATCCATAAGCGATTTACATACCGTTTGATCCAGATTTTTATCCTCTTTCTTACAGCTGCAGTTGATCTCTGGCCTACTCTGTTTTTGCAAAGTTATCGCCATGGCTTTTTGAGCAGCTCAGCAGTAACGCCAAATCTTTCCTGAATTTCAAACATTTTTGTCCTGTTGTCCAAAGAGTTTTGGTGACTGTTATGTAGAGCAAACCTTTGGCTACATTGTGCCCATTTTAAATTACAAGAAACGCGTTTGCTAAGTCCGTTGTAATTATACCTTATATATAAAGCTGAATGTCTGTTTGTCTGTATGTCTGTCTGTATGTCTGTCTGTACAGTCGCTTCATTTCATATGATCATGTGTGCCATTGCACACACAGTCCACTTTGGCGTCCTCATCATGGATTTGCAATCGCAAAAATGCAAGAGACTTACCGATTGTTATCGATTACATCAATTTGAGGTGACTAGTAACTAAAAAGGAAAGAAAATGCTAAGAACACCTTGGAAACACTTACATGAAGGCTTGTTTCTCCCACGAATCCAGGATGGGGACGCCAAAGGGGAACTGTGTGTGCAATGACACACATGATCATATGAAATGAAGCGACTGTATGTCTGTCTGTCTGTCTGTATGTGTGTACGTATGTTCCGAATAGAAAGTTCCATTTCTGAACCGATCCGGACCAAACTTAGCACACATACACTTCGGGCCCCGGCGGGTGTCATAGGCTACTTTTCGTCATCGATCGATATCGATTTTATCGATTTTTTTGCAAAATTTGAGCTACGGGGCTGGGAGTTGGCACAGGGGGGTAATCGAACATGCTGATCACCCCCGTGGGGGCAGCATGCTCGATTACACCCCTCTGCCAAATTCCAGCCCCCTAGCTCAAATTTTGCAAAAAATCGATAAAATCGACATCGATCGATAACGAAAAGTGGACTGTGACACCCGCCGGGGCCCGAAGTGTATGTGTGCCAAGTTTGGTCCGGATCGGTTAAGAAATGGAATTTTCTATTCGGAACATACGGCGGAGCCGGGTAAGCCAGCTAGTATTTAATAAAAACTACGGCTTTTTGATTACATTTACCACGTAAAATTACCGAAAGTTCACAAAACCCTCTTTTTCAAGCAATTTAAACTTGGTTATGTTGCATAAATAATGCTTAATGAGAATCATGTTCCACTTCGCAGAAATCTCAAAAGCTTTCATGTTTTTGACGCAGCTGGGTGTTTCATGACTTTGCCAAAATTCGAGACATCAGAAGGAATAATTTTGTTAAACCTAAAACAGCAGGTCAGAAAAATCCAAATCCCGACATATTACCTTGTAGCCCGAGAATTGCTCTATTTGATGCATACTTGAACCTTTCCGAAACTTAGGAATGAAATTTCCGAAAATTGGCCTAATTCTGAGCAGATAAAATTGACGGGTGGAGAATTTTGGCAATTATCAAAAGAAGTTAACAAGACTGTGGTTCGAAAATATACCCATAAGAAAAAGAAAGAAAAGCTGCATCGAATGCATTTTGAAACTGATTCAGGTCTTTATTGCGGTGGTTTTACAGTGGTTTGAAAAAACGGACAAAACTTTCGGGACAACCTAATATAAGACTAGCTGGCTCACCCGGCTCCGCCCAGCCCTGTCAAAACACTCTGATAAAGCTCCCATCCCTATCCCTGTACAACCTCCTGCCCACTTCTACATACTAACTCCAATCCCCGTTCCCGCTGTGTTAGTTATCAGCACGCTCACTTATCCTTGTGCGAATTCCCAGTCCCGTAACTCAAAATCTACAAAAAAAATCGATAAAATTGAAAAAATTAATGGATAATTTCAAAAACTAATATTGTAATCGTGATCAGCATGCTCGATTACCCCTGTGAGAACTTCCAGCCCCGTAGCTCAAGCTTTGCAAAAAAAAATCGATGAAATCGATAAAAGTAGCTGATAATTATCTATACTGTGTTCGTAATCAGCATGCTCGATTACCCCCCCCCCCCCTCCTGTGCCAACTCCCAGGCCCGTAGCTCAAACTTTGCAAAAATCGATAAAATCGATATCGATCGATGACGAAAAGTAGCCTATGACACCAGCCCCGCGCCGAAGTGCATGTATGCCAAGTTTGGTCCGGATCGGTTCAGAAATGGAATTTTCTATCCGGAACATATAATGCGTACAGACAGTACAGACAGACATACAGACAGACAGACAGGTAAACGTACAAACAGACATTCAGCTTTATATATAAGATATAAATGTAGGGGAACATAATTGGGGAGAGACCCCGAGCACTCGGGAAGTGCCAGCTCATTTGAAGTTGGTGGCACCGCCCAGTCGGCGTGGGGACTGTCGGACCATCTAATTTGTCTGCGTCTCGAAAATATCGATGTGTATTATTTCGTTACCGCAAGAAAAGTAAGGATTTTTCCAACTTTCAAATCACCATATAATACGATAGGAGTAAAGATCGCTGGTTTTGCCCAATAAACGTATATGAAGTGAATTTTGGACGTTCGTGTAGAAAAACACTTGGGCAAGCTTGAGGGGGGTGGTGCGATAGGAACCAAAGGGCTGCCGCCTATATCCGCAGGAGTTAAATATGCGAGAGCTGTGGAGAATATTTCGGTGAGGATCCTGGAAAACTTGGCTTGGGCATCCTTTAGAAACAAATCTTCATAACTTTGCCCGGAGATGACTTTGAAAGATTTAGGAAACGATTTGTAACGCAAACTGGAAGGCGCATTCACTGGGCTCAAAAGTAAGTGAAATTTAGAAACTGTAGTGGAATGAAAATTCAGCTTTATTACACAAAATTTTCATTCTATGAATTTTGAAGTTTCAAATTGTTGAAGACCGGGATTTTCATTCAAAACTCATTCTTTTTTTCCTTGAGACAAAGGAGTAGTTGCCTTTTGAGTCAATAGACCAAAGCAATCAAATGTCATAAAACACATTTAGAGGCTTGTGCTAAAATACAATATGCAGTTTGTCTCATAACTTCAAACCTAATCTAACCCTGAATTTTGACACTAGAGTATTGTAGGATTCGCCACTGAAACTATGGTAATCCTTTGAAGCTGTACACAGTAGCAAAAGTTCATCACATGCAACTTACAAGGGAAGGATGGTTGGTCGAAGTGGCCTTTTGAGACGAATTGTATACCATGATGGAGGGCATAAAACGCTGATTCCAAATCTATCTTCCTTATCTGCGGCGCGTTCCTGGAGGAGGAGTTATGAGCGTTTGAAGGAGCAAAAAATGAGTGTTTTTCTGGGATAAAAACATTGGCTAAAATTTTCCCAGCGCTTGAATGAGACAGCCGGAGTGTGGATATATCTCACCTTAGAGTCTTTATTTTATAGAGTGTTGGAAAGATTACCACTGCTCCTTTTAAGCGCTAGGAATAATGTTACTACTGTTTTTATATTATTTGCACATTCAATTTTTCCGATAAACGCTCATAACTTCTTGTGCAGGAACGCGCCGCAGATAAGGAAGACAGATTTGGAATCAGCGTTTTATGCCCTGAATAATGATATACGAGTCATGCAAAAGGCCACTTCGACTGACCATCCTTCCCTTGTTAGTTAACAACTTCCTACTTTCTACTTCGGATCCAGAAATTTCACTAAAAAGTTCAGTCAAAATTATTCACACAACATTGATCTTGAAATCCCTAAGCTTCAATGGTGAATTTTGAAGGCTATTTTGGTAAAAATAGAAGTTGAGTACCAATACAGAGTGGTTTATCTATCCGGCGTATTATCGAAAAGCGCATGTTTCAATACTGATTCCAAATCTGTCGTTCGTATCCTTGCAAGCTAATACCAAGAAGAGTTATAAGGGTTTGTTTCTGATAGATATCTTAGCCAAGTTTTCCTAGATCCTCGC